AAATGGCTCTGTCGTGCAAACAGGAGTAAGAGCAACCTCCCTTTTGTCTGTCATTGCCTTAAATAATTGTCTGCCTTCTGTTAAAACTTGAAAGCTGGACAGCGTAAGCAGAAGGTCTTCACTTTGCGTGTTAGTAATAATTTCTCCTCAGTGAGAGTGATTCATGCTACTGTTTGCTTGTGGACTTTGCTTGCAACACACTGCCTCTCGCTGGTTTGCATTCTGTAGGAAAACGGTGGTCCTTTGGTTGATATCACCAGGTCATTGTGACAGATTTTAGTATAGGGCTGTCTGAGAGCATGACCAAGAGGGCTGGAACTTCTGTCTCTTAATCAGGGGAAAAAGTATTACAGGCATGTTTAACAGTAGAACCACTTATACATGGTGAGAACTCCTTCACTTCAAATAGAAAAAAATAATCCTCTGCAATTGTACTATGAAACTTGGTCTCAGAATTAGATTAAGAAATAGTTAAATATTACAGCAGTTAGGGAAGGATCTAAAATATGACCTGCAATGCTAATAAAAATAAATGTCAAGATAGTGATAACACTGAAGAGGAATACAGTTACTTTTATGCTTACATTGGACAAAATCCCTAGTTGACAGATAAGTTGTGCTAGAATTTCAGGAATGTTGGCAGTGAATCTTAATGGAAGTCAAGTTTGGCAGCTGTATGGGAAAGGCACAAGACTTACCTGGTCACATCGTTTTCTCCCAGCCATTAACAAAGGGCACAAGTCAGTGGAAGGGTGATTAAGAAAGGCCAGGTTACTAAGTCACCTTTGTGGGTGGCTTGGTGCTTTGTATGTTTGATTTTAATCCACTATAAAATGCCAAATGTTGTGTGTTGGCCTTTAGTAGAGGCTGCCTCTTGATACAGAATTTGAAGTTTGTCGTTCCTCACTTGCAGGGGATCTTTTTTCCAAAAGATGACTCTGTGATTTCTAGTTTTGCAACTGCAAACCTAAGGACATGTGAAGTAGCTGACAAATCAATGTATTTATTCTGTAGGGAGAATCCATGTATAAAAATGATTTAGGTTTTGTTTTAGGCCAGAAGTGTCACCAGTGTAAAAGGACACCGCTACATAGGCATTGCTATCATTGTACCGGTTTCCATCAGGTAGAAACTGGTCCATCAAGTTATATCCAATCACTTCAGTATCTTAGCCTCTAGGACCAAAGTTCTTATGCTACAGACAAGCATGGTATAGAAAAAGAGGGGAAAAAAAAGATAATTTAGAGCAAGAAAATAGAATCAGACTCCATCATCTTGGATTAATTTTTAAATGAGTGGTTGATATATGTATTCAACCTCCGGTGTGTGCACACATGGGAATCTGATACCGGACTGTTTAGACAACAGCTTTCTCTCTAGGAGATGGGGATTCAGGCTCACCTGCCTTCTGTACATCTTCCAGCTCTGCCAGGACTTCAAGTGAATTAAAGGCTGAGATAATTGCAGACCTCCCTCTACGTCCAGAAGTTCTCCCAAAGCTATAGGAAGAAAGAGTGGTAGTGTTTTTGATTGCGTACACTTTGTAGTGATTTTTTTAGTTAGTTCTGAAGCCTTAAGGGTACTCTTACTATTCGGTCCTTTGACTATTTAAAGAAGTAGAAATTTGAGAAGGTTATCAAATCTGGGAGGTACCCTTGGCACCAGTTCTGCTCAGAGATTCTGCTCTTACATAGCAGTTATCCCTTTTGTACATGAAGGCCCATTCCTCACATGGCTAGGGACATGATCATCTCTTCTAATCCCATTCAGCTTCGGGTAAAACCTCAAAGTGGGACCTGAAAATACAGACCTGAATTAGTGTGATGCAACCTCCCAGAGCTGCTGGCGATCTCAAGATTGATTGCAAGGAATGGCAACACATGGCACGAAAGTTCCTGGCACGAGATTGCTCTTCAAACCTTTCTGCACCAGTTCATTTCTGGCATTGTCCATCCTGTTTACGGTCCTTGAGAGACTTAATGCTCTCTGACCAGCCCCAGTGCCTTTGGCTGACCTTTGCCATGGAGCTGCTTGCTCTGACCTTGACTGGTGTGCTGGTACTCGTGTGAAAACTGTTGGTATCTTGTGCTCCTCGTTGGCCTCAAATGTGTGCATAGACAAATCCTTTCCCAGTTCTACAGTGACGAAAGAGTTCTGTTCGTTCCTCTCTTGTCCAAAGTGAGAGCAGCTTGTCGTGGCAGGACAGCTGCAATCATTATCCACCAACCTTGGGCACGCACCCACTGGGTCTGGATTATTCCCTGGGGGACCTCAGGAGTAAAATATGTGGGGACAATTTATCTCTTTCTTTGTCTGTCTCTCAAGGAAAAGTGACCTGACCCCTCAGCAGCTGTGCCTGCTTCGAGATGTGTCACCCAGAGAAATTCCACAAACCACCCATATTTCTCACTACTGTGAAGTTCATGTCAGTCTGAACGCTAATTGAATGAGCATTTAAGAACATTTGTGACTGCTTTCTTTCAGCTGTGTGTCAGGGAGCTGCAGCAGACACTGCTATTAAAAGATGCCTGTATGAGCAGAGTGTGTCTCAGCCAGAGGTGGAACACCTCTAGACAATACATGTCAAAGAATTTCAGTTCTTGTAGGCAAATACTCTTTCTTTATCCATGGTAATTGGGAGTCATGTCAAAGAGCTGACAAAAGTATGGAAAGCAAATAGACTTAGGTCATAACTGTTTCAAGCGTTTCTTAAGTATTTTTCAAGGTAGTGTGTAAGTGTAAAAATTAATGTATTTTAATTTATTCTCTGTGCTAAAAATCCTTCACAAAGCCCAAAACTCTGGGATATTTACAGCTGAGAGAATAACACATTGCTTGCTCTCTTACTAGGATACTGTGTACTGGTTTTGGTGCCAGAACTTTTTTAAAATATTGGATTATTAGAAACAGTTAGCAGAGCGCCCCAGGAATTATTTGAGAGCAAGAAGAAAATGCATTACAAAATAATAAGCATAGAGTGTCCATTTTATCTTATGCATAAAGTGCCTAGATTACAGAGAAACATACCTTCAGTGGGAGAAATTGCAAATAAAAAGGGCTTGTTAATTCTTGTACCTTTCACCGCTGTATTGATGTCTTAGTTTGTCTGATGGTAGTCTCCAAATCAGAAATAGGCGTGTAGGGGTACAGAATGGGGTGTGTGCCCTGTGAAGGTGATCTTACCAATTGGAACAAGCTGCCAAGGGGATTGGTAAGTCTCCTTCTCTTAACATCTTAAAATCAAGGCAGGATGTTTTTATGAAAAATCGGCTTCAGTAAAATAAAGCTATGAGGCTCACTGTGAAGATAACTGGGAGATATCCTGTGTTACTAGAGCAGTAGGTACTAGACACAACTGGTCTTAAAATGTTTGCATCTCTGACTCATTTGCCGTGTGATACTGTAACATGACAGGGTCATGTTGAAAAGCATGCATCCACTTTAACAGCAGGAAAAGGAGTGATGAATGTAGTCTGTTTCTTCTTTGTTGTTTCACCATAATCTTTATTTCCAAGTTTCCATTAACTACAAGCAAAGACCAAATGTTTTGTTGCAACGATCAGATATTCAAAAATTCTTAGTGCTTCTTCCTACTCTCTTCCAGGCTGTGGGATATCGAGTGTGGGGCATGTTTACGAGTACTGGAAGGCCATGAAGAGTTGGTGAGATGCATACGCTTTGATAACAAGAGGATAGTCAGCGGGGCATATGATGGGTGAGGCTGTCAGTTCAGTCAATACCTTGTATCTTCCTGTCTCAATGTCTCACATCCTACTTTGCTGTAACTTCATTATGAATATTAGACTCCTTGTTTGTCATACCAAGAGGACCTTTTCATGGCCGGTAAATCTACACACTACAAAATATACCTTTTTTTCATCTTTTGAAATAAGTCAGTGTGATTTGATGGGTGTGGTCCAGTTCTTTAGCTGGTAAGCATATCTGACCGACTCAACTTGAAACCTCTTCTAGCTGAACCACTGGTAAGAATAATCTTTCCCATCTGTGGTTATATCTTCTGGACCGTTTGCCATTTCAGACTAGGTGTCTGCACTCCCACATGTTTCTGTTAGTTATTACCGCCTGCTTTTTAGGTGGTTTACTTTGTTGGGAGCATTTCTTTTTCTCCCATTACACTCTATAAGCTTTACAAAGGGGAAATACAAGAACCAGGTCTCGAGAAGGATTGCTGCAATTTTCGTTGAACTGGTGTATTAGCTAAGCTGTACTAACAGTTAATTTTCTTCTATGAGCACTTGCTCTTTTCTCTTTAACAAAGCCATCGTGTTTGTCTATTTTTTCACTACTAGGAAAATTAAAGTATGGGATCTTGTGGCTGCTTTGGACCCTCGTGCTCCAGCAGGGACCCTCTGCTTGCGAACTCTTGTGGTAAGAGCTTTTGGTAGGGGTGGTGGAGGGGGCAGAAAAGCGTGCTTGATCAGGGCTATCTTGAGCCATGAAAACTCAAGTCAGTTTAGCCCCAGTCTGCAGGATCTAGAAATCATTTCTAGGGGTCTGGCTTTGGGTGTCCAACTTTTTTTTTAATATTGCAAGCTATAAAGCATTAAAAATTAGAACCTGTGGAGGTTTCATTCACTTTTTAACAGTTTTGCTCTGTGATTTGAAGTTCATAACTAAATCCATTTTTGAGACTTGTCCTTCTTGGAATCCATGTGCTTGGGTTTACTTTAACCTGTGTTTACCTAACGATGTAGTAGTACATTGTCTGTATTGTTGACATGAAATTTCTCAAAGAAAAGTAGTACATTCCAAATTTGAGGAACAAGGAAAAAAAAAATCCTTGGGATTGCTTTTAACTGGCTTTTGGGTGTTTAAGGAAAGAGAAGGTAAGGACTGGAACAGACAGTGAAATTGCATCATCCTTAAACAGGAACTACTACTTTCATGCTGTCCATTGATACTTAGTGCAGGGCTGATGATGGTGTGGTTACAGTGTCATTGTGTGAGCATTAACAGCATTCACAGTCATGCTTAACAGTGGCTCTGCACTGGTCTCAGAATAATACGGGAAGGTTGTGAGTAAAATGCCAGTACAGCCAAGGCTGTGGGATGGTTCCTAGAAGCATTCCTCCATAACGTTCACCCCAAAAAACTTGCACTGTTGCTGCTCTGACAGCACTTGCCCTGGGAATAAAGGAAGATTTCAATCTAGTACCAAATTCTCATTGAAAAAGAAGTACTAATTTTTTTTTTTTTAAATATGAAATATTTGGACAGTGTTCGAGTTGGTGTATGTTAGACCTTTTCCTGCTGTGGCATGTGACTGCAGTCTGTGCTCTGAACCAAGATCATACCGAGGCTGTCTGATTCACTACACGTGTGGTTACCTCTCACCAGTTGAGCTGCGCTAGCTGACCTTCTGCACACTCATCCACCACCTGAATTGCTACTGTTGCTGTAGATTTCGCTAAAGTATTTTACTTCACATTTGGTGCAGGCTGTGAGGGTTACTGTGACGCAGCTGACAGGCAGTAGATCATTAAGCCATGCTAACTCTTTTCCAATCATATATTTGGACCATAAGCTGCAGAGTAAGAGTCTGTGAGAGCCTTGGATGCCTGCAGGTACTATGTTGAAAAACCTTCGTGTTAGCCAAATAGAACTGCAAATAGTTTCATGGCTGAAATCCAGAAAAAACCCTTTGTCATCAGCCACCCAGTTGCAAACTATGGAACAACTCTGTGCTCATGAGCACATATTCTGAGAGTCTAAGACTTCACCTTGGTATTAGCAGTATTCCTGCTCCAGACTGAGACAAATGTGTGCCTCGTAACCTGTAGACTTAATTTAACTGGTGTGATTTCCTCTGCATTTTCCAGCAGTGGACAGCCAAAGTGCCCCAGCTAATTATATTATAAATCAGAAGCGGTGGGATGGAAACACTGTAGGAATCTCAACACATGGATACTCATAAATCCCTGTTTGATAGCGATGGAGGGGGCCAGAAGGGGGGGCACAGAGGAGGCTGTTGTGGTGCTTTTAGGACTTTTCATGTTTATGACAACAGGGCGTCCTTATACCCGCTTACCCATGGTTTGTTTTTTTTTCTCTTCCCTCGGCCTCCAAAATTAAACCTGGCTGCACAATGAACATCGTCAGTCTCCTGCTGCTCGTGTTCAATTTTCAAACAGTAGGAGGAAAGTGCACAGATAACAAATGCTCACTGCATGCCAGGTCCCTTCCAGTTTTGTCTTCCGTTAGCTGGAACAGCGGCCGCATGAATTTGACAGCAGCTTTCCAGGCGTAGAATAAGCACAGAGTTCAGCTTTCCTTACAAGGTTCAGGTCCTTGTAGCCTCAACTTCGGGTGTACGGTCTGCTTATTGCCACTGTAACAGCAAAGGGCAGGTGCTGTGTGGAACTTATAGGGCAACCTTTACTTAGCCTACAGTGACTGGGAGAAAAAAGGGAGTTTTGGAAAGGGGCTTTGGAAGTACCTCTCTCTCTCTCTCAGCGTCTCGGTGGGCAGTGCCTCAGTGAATCTGACTGCCGTAGTGATTTTTTTTCGCAAGAACTTCAGTTACTTCACTGCTACAACACAGACTCTGGAAAAACATTTCTCTTTGGAATAGGTGGGAAGATAGAAACCCATAAGGTGATTTTAAGACAAATTTGAGTTAGGTTAGAAGATCAGAAAGCTTCCAATGATGAGGTCTTTTTTAAAATTTATCTTAAAAATAGAATCTGACTTGTGTGTGTGTGTATTTTCAGTTAATTTTAATTTAAAAATGCAGAGTTTCACTTTAAAGCAGCTGTTGTGCTTTGCAAACCAAGCTGTATTTTTGTAGTCCTGTGCCATAAGACAGAGGCTTCTCATTTAGTAGCTAGCAATTCTCTTTTGTCTAAATATTTGAGAAACCTGTATTTTCAGTACTAAAATATTTTAAAGCATGTTTTTTTCCTGACCCTAGGCCCCTTACAACATATGAGCCCTAAAGAGAAATATGTATTAATAGAAGAGGTAGGGCTCACTCTACTCGCATGGTTTCTGTTCCTTTCTGACTGAGGATGCCACCACTCGCTCTTGCAGCAGTGTAAACACCAAGAAAAAACAGGCAACACAAAAGGGAAAGCATAGCAGATTTGCTCTGTGATATCCAGGATCTTGCCGTTACCTCCTGTTAATTACAGTCTGAACTCTTGCCAAATCGTCATGCCATTTCCACTCAGCCTCAGAGCAGAATGCAAAGTGCCTATAAAGAATGCCCTTTCTAGTTCATATTTTTAGAACTGCTTAAGAGGAATTATTACTGTGTCACTGGACTTTACAACAAGCTCCTTAGTGTCCTCCAGTATTAAGCTCTTTCCTCTTCAGCAGTGGCGATGGTGTCAAGTCTTGAATGCAAAGTCCTCATCTCTCCCCCTGTAACCTACTGCATCTGGGAATGCTGTGATTTCGGGAAAGAGTTTTACCATGGAATAAGGAAGACAGTGCTCCTATCAGCCTTGCCAGACTGAATTGTGTGGTGGAGGGAGCTTCGTTTGTTCTGGACAGTGTGTGTCCAATATTGGGATTTAAGGAGTAACAGGGTAATGGTAATGTAAACTTCCTGCGAGCCAAGTACTCAGATATGGCAAACCCTTTTCACTGAAAGAAGGCTTAATTTACGCTGTGCACAGTGTGTCATGTGGGGTTTACTGAGAAATGAATGTAACACTAGAATCCAAGCCCAAGTTCATCTTCCCTGCTCCATCCCAGGTGCCAGCAAGTTTGTGAAGTAATGTGCTGTGTCTCCCACTTGCATTTAGGAGCATTCTGGAAGAGTCTTTCGACTTCAGTTTGACGAGTTCCAGATCGTCAGCAGCTCACATGATGACACCATCCTCATCTGGGATTTTCTGAATGACCCAACTGCCCAAGCAGAATCCACTCGTTCCCCGTCCAGAACATACACCTACATCTCAAGATAAATAACACTACACCGTACCTCACACTCGCACAGGTAAAAAAAATATTAAAAAAATAAAGAAGAGGCTCAAAGGTGACACTGGATGTAGTGCGAGCATGCTGCTTGAATAACTAGCTGGGTCTATCAATATTTCTCATCTTGGTTGGACAGTAATTACAGTGTCCTGTAAAAGGACAGGAATGGTTTTGATACCTTAGAATAGGGACTTTATTTTAGGATTTGTGGCACGTGGTGCCTGTGAGTTCCCCTGAAGAACTCCTCCTCCTCTGTCCATCATCATCAATAATTAAATCAGCTATCACTGCTGTCCAGAAGGAAGAGGGTTTCTGCAGAGCGAGTAGAGCAGCTGCTGCCTAACAAGGGGATGCAGATGGCCTGACCCTGGGCAGTTGTCACCAGGCAGGAGGGTTTTGCCAAGAAGCGTCAGCTTTATTCCCTCCCTCCGAAGTCGTGACCATTCTTCTCACTCTGCAGCAAGCTGATTCAAGAGAACAGTTTGGCTAGGGGAGGAGACACTGAGGCACAAGCCCAGGCAAATTAAATCGAGATGCATCGATGTGCAAAATCATTTATTGATAGGGCCTAGCCCTTGTTCTGTCTAGCACAGCATGGGTGTTAAATTGTTCATGTTAGAGCCCGGCTGGTTTGCTCATCACCTTACCCTTTTGTCTTGGCCAGCACAGTGTGGGGAAGACATAATGTTTCATATGTCTTGGGTCAGTTGTAGGGTGGATTTGATGTATAGGAGTGGAGTGGGATAGCATGATTGCCCACTTTGGTGGGTACATGCACTGTTACTGTTAGTAGCTTGAGAGAAATGGCAGAAGAGCTGACAGGCTTCTGCAAGGGGGTGACCACAGTGACATTTTCCCATGAAAATGCTCTGTCATGGGGCACATCCTGTATCCTGTTTGATTGGTAAATATACAGTGATGCTCCAGAGCTGTCAGATCAGCCATCTTGATTTTCTCAAACACTCTAGTCAATCAGATGTTCTTTTAAATCATTAAAAGGTTTAGTACGAATGGGTTTTGTTTTGTTTGTTCTGTTTTTTGTTCCCAGGACTCATTTAAGCTGCAGTATTTAAATTATCTGCCAATGCCAGGACAAAAGAACTATCCACGTAACCAATACTTGCTGAAGAGAGAGGCTCTCAGACTTGTTTCTGGAACAAAGTTGGCATGCGGTTGATCTCAGACAGGGTCTACTCAGCGCGGCTGACTGCTAAAGTGCTGCTATATCAGAAGATGACTTTTATCTTTCATGAACAGTTAACATTTTTAAACCTTCCCATTCCCTTCCTCCCTTGTCCCCCTCTTCCTGTTCACTGCTCTCCCCTGTTCCCTGTTTGGTTCCCCTCCAAACCCAGTCACAGATGTCCTATGAATATATTTAAGATGTTGCCAGAATGTGTTGCTTTGCTGTTAAGCAGAAGACTTACAGCCACAGTCCACCCTGCTGAGAGAGTCACTTCAGGGTGGGTGGGAGGGTGGGTGGGAAGGAGGCTGCTACTCTCAAACTGAAATCAATATCCATTGCTAGGCCTTTGAAAAAGCATTCAGCTCTGAAGAGCAACAGAAACACTTATAACAGCCAGACCAGCCCCCCTTCCTCCCCAGCTTCCCTGCGGCTTTTGGCTGTTCTGACTGCAGACTTATTTTTTGTGGAGAGAGGACCCTTGCAATTTGACTATTATGAGCCAAATCCATCTCTTTCCTCTCCTGCCTGCTCTGCTAACCCTTTGGAAGCTGGATGTGTATTGTAGTCTCCCTTAACATCTGCTTGGCTGGGGAATGGTAGTCAATGAAAAGTTAAACTCTCTTCTGCCGAAGTCCCAAGCGTGATGGACTGGGGCTGCGATCCCGTCCACCCCCACCCCGGGTGAAACGTTGGCCCAGGGCAGTAATTCACTAGCAAAGGGATTGTCTGTACCATCTTCCTCCTGCTGTTCTCCCGGAAGAGTTGCTGATGGCTTACGAATCATTCTGTAAAGTGGAGAAAGTTAGAGGCTGGGGTGAGGAGGAAAGCTGGACATTGCTCCTTTCTTTCCATTCCTTCTCCCCTCAGAGAGGCTGTAGCTGGGTGCTGGAAGAGGGAGCTGCTAAAAACCTTGTGGAGCTCTCAAGATCAAGCCACCCTAGAGTGGAGACACCACAGAAACACTCTGGCCGTGACAGTAAGATTTTGCTCACGTGAGCACCAGTGGGGCACAGTCTCCTGGTGATGGCAGATGGGTAAAATGAGTATGGCCGTGAGTACAGTCAGTGCAGTTAGCAGTGGCTCCAGGCCAGTTCTGCAGCATTTCTGGGGCTGGCCTTGCTAGAAAGCCTTCGGAGGCAGAGCCTTTGGTGTGCTTCTCTAACCTACGTGCATGCTGCATTGCGGTTTAGGGACGCAGGCTGATTAGTCCCTTTGCTGATAGCTGAGCTGGATCTTTGCTTTCTAGCTAAGGCTTTTGCAAATTGCCATTGTTTAGAAGATAAAAATAGCCCTGAAGAGGAGGGACATGAGAAACAATTCTGCATGTCTCTGAACTAGACAGAGAGGTCTGGGGGAAAACAGCTGTTTTTACAGAGCTGGAAGGAATTGCAGGAGGCCTGCATTTGGATCAGGAAAGACTGTGCAAAGCAGTCCCTGGCCATTCCAGGTTTGGGCCCGGATCTTCCACTGTACATCTTGAATAACCCCCACTGCCTTAGTGGGGAGTTGTTCCAGTCCCACAGTAGGAAATTGGGACCCTTCATCTCCGGGCTGGAGGGGTTTTAAACAGGCTTTGTTAAAACCTTCTAAACTTGGGACTTGGCAGATGGGAAATTTTTTTAAGCTATTCTCATCAACTTCACTTTGCTGGGGAAGCAGTTGCATTGTTTCTAATTGCTTGGGATGCGCTTTTTCCACCAATGAAATTTTGCAAGGAGCTGGGCCACGAATCCCCAAAGAGCAGTCCAGAGGGCTTAAATCATTTTGGTGACAGCTAAGGCAGACAAGAAGGCGATGGAGTTATGGAGGAAGGGAAGGCTGGTGCTTGGGGAGTACCCAGTGCAGTTCCTGAAGCCCGTGGGCAGCAGTGTTGAGCAGTCAGCTCCCTGTGTTTTCATTGAGCGTAGAGACTACATCAGTTCTAAAGAGCATCTCAAAGCATATGGTGACGCTCCTGTTTTCTGTTTGAACTATTACTGTAGAAGTCAAACAGGTTAACATCTCGACTCTGTTCAGGTAACACTGACGGTGTGACTTACCTCTGCAGAGTCATAAAAGTTCTGAGTCACAATGGTAAGTTCATCCACAACTGATTTTGGCACTACTTTTAAGTCTAGGAAGGCTGTTTTGGATTTCAGGCAGCTCTACATATCAGGCATACTGCAGTCCCAAAGCCGAAGTGGCAAGGGAGCAGAGAGAATCAAAGTTTACATCCCAAACTTTGCTGAGTTGAAGTTCTGAGTCTTATTCTTAATGTTATTTGAACACTGTTCCTCTAAGTTCAGTTATTACAAGGTCTGCAGCATGGTTGCATATCAGCAGGGGTTTATATGACCTTGGCTGCAGATTTAATAGTTATTTTCCTCAGTTTGGTCATCCTCTGTCTTTTACATTTAGGTTGTTGTAGAAAACAATGATCTGTTACTCCAGCCTCTGGAGGCTGCAGAACTTTCTAATATTTTAATTGCATCTTTGTGGGCAATACCTGCAAGGGTGCATTTTATTTTGCTAGTTGAGAGAATGTGGGAGAACCGGAAGACTGGCTGGCCAAACGCAGAGACACCACCACTGCAGATTGTCCTTGGTTGTCATAGCCCTGCTGCTCCATGCTGCTATTCTGTAACTTCTAAGCACTGTTGGGTCTTCAAGTGGTACCGTAGTTTGAACTCTGCTGAATAGAGCTGTTTAAGGTACAGTCAGTGAGCAACAGCTGAAATCCGTTTTTGGCACGCGGTAAGAACGGTGTCTTGCCCTCAAGAAGAGACTGAGTCTGGGTACTTCATACAGAACCGCAGAAGGGCGAGGATTCCTGCCCCGCTCCCCGAGTTGTACAAATATTCTGATAGCTAAGAAGGAAACTGAAGTTAACTGATCTAACTTGAACTTGAAACTGCCACAGCCTGACATTTGGTGGTGTTTATTGCGCACCCAGGGAGGAGCAATCTGGTAAGTAGATCTCCCAATGTCAGAAGAAAGTGGCTTTTTCAAACTTCCCCCCCTTAGGATGTGTGTGCGTGTGTGTGAGTGTGCAAGAGTGCATGTGAGAGAGAGGTTTCAGCATGAACTGGATGGATAATCCCTCAGCCAGGTTGGAGTAATTGCAGAGTTTATAATGAAAAGAACTAGAACGTGCCTGCTGAAAGGAGATAAAAAAGGGCTGGAAGTGTCTGTGGGCTTTAAGTGTTGCACATCGCTTTGAAATGAAATGAAATACCTCTGCTGCATAGAGATCGGCACTTCTCCCACAGGTAGGAAGTTCACACTAGCCTTCCCCCTTGGACTATGGGATGGAAAGTACTGGAAGTGTGGGACATTCAGAGCAGGACAATCTGGTATGGCCACACCGTCTCCTGCTTGTGACTCCTTTGCAATAGGGCACAGTTTTGCTGCAAATATTTCTCATCCTCAGAGGAATACAGCTTGCTTTAAAATATGCAAATAGAAAATGGCATGAAGGAATTTGCAGCGAGAAAACTTCTGTGGCTGTCTCCTCTGGAGCAGCTCCCTCTGCTCCCCGCTAACGTTCAGGGACAGACACATCCGCTGTTGGAATGGAAGGATTCAGGTGACAAGTTGAGAAGTCCACGATCATCGGAAACATTGAAATGCTTTACACTTGTTTCTAAACTGGAAGCTGACTTGGACCACCATGCTCTACCTACCTGCACCTGCTCCTGCTCCAAAGGATCCTTTTTTCTTTTCCTTAATTTTTTTTGAACACTGAAAAAGCTGGAGAGTATCATGTGCGTTTCTCCACTCCCAGGTATGTGTTTCCTGCCCCTGTCACACGTTCCTTTCTCAGGCTGAGCAGAGCTCCAGGCTTGGTTCTGAGTTTTTTGGCATCCCGGCTCCGATGGAAAGCACCTCTCCAGGTTGGGCTCTTTGCCTAACTTTGTTAGCTTCCTTTAACACCATTTTAGATCTGCCTTTTGTGGCTGACGATTCCTAAATTCACTTGGGGCGGGAATATTTGTGTTCGATAAATCACAAATACTAGCAGCTCTTCCTAGCTAGAGAAGTGGACGAGAAGGAGCAGCCAGTCTTCCTACTGCAGGCTTGCTCTTAATTGTGGGAGGAAAAGGAGGAGACAGCCCAAGTGATTGAAAGCTAGGAGAGGGTGCAGGGATGGAGATGGATCTCTACAGAAGTGGGGACAATGCTGAAAATAGATGTCTTAGCTTGTGTAGTTGACTGAGAAGAATAGAGGTTTTCTGTGCGAACATCAAGTCATCAGGAGGTAATCAAGTAAGGCCTCCAACTGTTGGACTTGTCAGTTGATGCCCCTTTTAGGTTGTGCTGGGGGCATGAGGAGAAAGGGGTGGTCTAAACTACACTTGCCAGGAGAAGAATGAACTTTGCCAGGGTCTCCAAGTGGCATGCATGATGCATCTGACATGCTGAGCCTTGCCCTACTGTTGTTCCGCCCGAAGCAATAAGCAGCAGCTTCCCAGAAGGAGGGGGGAACAGCAAGTGACCCAGCTGTCCCCAAAGGAGGTCTCCATATGAAATCCCACCATCCTCCTGCCAGCAAATCCTACTGGATTGATTGGCATGAAGGGGCCGCAGTCTCTCTCCCCGCTTTGAATTCAGAGACTCACAGAAGCAGCATGTCCCTTGGGTGCGTTCCTTCTCCACAACCCCAGCAGCGGGTTGAGAGGAATGGCTGCCTGCTGAGACTGAGCATTTGGCTTCCCCTCCTTTCCCCCTCACCCCATTTTTTTTTTAAATGAGGTGTAGCCAAACCACTGGCAAATTCCCAAAGTGTCTCTCCCAGGGTGAGCCTTGGCACACTGCCAGGATAAATCATCCTTTGTCTTGTCATAAAACTCCTCCCGTGACTTTGCGTTTGTTCCCAAAGACCTCTGGGCTTCCACATTTGTTGTCCAGCGGATATCCCATGGGAGTTGGCAACACTGGTTAATCCTTAGTGATATTAAGCTGATATTCTCAAAATCAGAGGGATGCTGATGTACATGGGTGTACAACAAACCCTTTAGATCTTGTAGCCAACTCCTAAATAGGTCCCTTTTTTTAATAGCCTATCACCCTAAAAGATATCCTGATTTCTGCTCAAGCAGGAGCCAAGTGCAGCT